CTTTTGGCGCGCTTCAACCTGCCTTCTCCCCGATCTGTCATGTGATTTAGTAAAATATCCGTACTCTTAATGGTTGACTCTGAAGTCAATTCCATTGATTTACCAACACACCTGCTGTTCTTCTTGACCTTGACTTGGCTGCACTTGATTGTTGTTGTTGTCCTGAAATAGTAAACGTTTCGGTTATATATTCAGTCAAGTATTACTAAGAACTTCTATACAACTACAACACACCACGTGAGCTCTTCGGCTGTTCAGAACTTTATTCTTTAATATTCTTTATTCGGTAAACTAACTGACCTGCTGATCTTCTTGACTTTGACTTGAGTGCATTTCATTGTTGTTGTACTGAAAATAATAGGAACGTTTCAGTTATATCTTCAGTCAAGTATTGACTAGGTTTTATACAACTACAACACACACCATGTGAGCTCTTCGGCTGTTCCAGTTCGTCTTTAGTACCGATTTAAAGATACTAAACCTAATCGACAAACCACCTGATACACCTCAAAAGTAGGAAACTCACCATAACGAAAATTGTATGATTTTATCCACGGTTCGAAAGAAGAAGATTACGGTAAATACAAAGTCCTCCACAGAGATGTTTAGCACAAACAAGCACGATGCATCTGATACTTAATACTAGTGTCCAATTGCTAAACAACAAAAAAAACTCATGTAACATTATTGACAGATGTCAATCATGCATTTCCTGGAAATCAAATAGCGCGCGCCGATATCGATATCTTTGAAAATATAAAAGGGAACTCTAAGCGTTTTTACTACATGAAATCACTTTGATTTGCAGAAACCGATGCTAAAGACAAGGAAAGCGTGGTAAATTTTCAAATAAACAAATGAATGAAGCCGAAAGATCAAAACAATTATTGGGATTTTAGGAATTTTAAAAATGGGTTTGGCAGCGTACTTTGTAAACATRTCAAAWATCACTTAATGTCCACGTTCTATTGTTATCTTCTGGTTCGCGTTGGTTCGGATGTCCAGTAAGCCCAGTKTTAACCTTCRGACGCTWMCTTGACCRACAATGACTGTGGACAGCAATTCATGCGAAAGCTACCCGAAGGAGATTTTCCTAGAAGAGGTTGATCCTGATGTAATATGTCCAATTTGGTAAGTTTGAAACATGATCTGACGTTTGTCTTTCCAAAAAGAAGTATAACAATGACGCACATCACGCAGAAAATTACCTAAATAATCGTAACAAAACTGAAATAACAATGCATATCTYGTTTCTCATAGRTTTKTACCGCTGTRGGTTATGGTACATTATTTAAAACCTAYTGTGTAGAACAGTAATTTTGCCGTAAAAGGCCAGGRGGAGGGGAGACTCCTAGATTAAAAGCTTGGGGATAGAAACCAGAAGTTCGTTTTTATTAGCCTGCGTCACATCYGGAATTTTCKTCGTAAACGAAGAAAWTTCCGGATGTGACGCAGGCTAGTTTTTATGGGTATGCTTTACAATTTTTTGATCCCTAAGAGATCAAAAAACCAAACGATAGCCATGAACATTCTATTGTGTCTTATCTTTCAACA